CTCGCTCCTCCTCTCCCGCCTGGACTCGGTGTCAAGACAGAGTCAAGAAGACTGGGGGTGGGGGAGAGCAAAGATGGCCGGCACATTGAAAACCCATACCTAGGCATACCACCACACCCCCTGGTCCACAACGGACACTGACCAAGATTTTATACCACAACAAAAACAGGGCGGTGGCACCGATCCCAATGGGCGCGGCATGCGCCTGCACATGCACTCACCACCACACCCCAATGTCGGCATTTGATATTAGTGCGCATTCCCAATAACGCCTGCTGGATTCGCATCTAATTCACACGCAAATCCTCCATGCCACGATCGCTCCGCTGAACACACCGTGGGCGTTGTTCTTCTTGACAGTCGAAATTTTATGTGTCCTATGTATTAATGCAGTCCCGGTTTCCACCTGCATGGGGATCATAAGTGTTGTCACTGGCTTTGATTCCAGGGATTCATAGTCTAAATCGACTGGATAAAACTCACACACTGGCCGGTTTTTTTGGCCAGACGATGAAGATTTAAATTTAGCCGGAATCGGGGTTTAAGGCCACTTCAGGAGCGGAGAGCTACCGTCTGAAATTCTGAAACGAGGTTTATTAAGGGTTTATCAAGGTAAAACGGAGGAGTTTACTTAAGACATCATACTCTGTGACGTAACACATGTGGTACAGTACGCAGAACTCATTAGAATACATCACGAAATATTTGTGATTAGTTTTGTAACAATGCATCTAAGCGTCTAGGTCTGATGACTGATGGACGCCAGATCCACACAGACAAATCGGCACAAGGTACCGTACACGAATACCAAGAGGATTGTCGTTTGCCGATAGAAGGTTATTACAAAGTAAGCAGCTGCAATTTAGTTGCCGAGACCAGCGGTAGCCTGGCGGTATCTCCACCCCGCTATTGGTATACGGAAGGCATTTCCTGGTGACTTTAACCTTATTACCTATCTGCAAACACTTCTGGCTGGAATTACTATTTTTCATTCTGTAACTTCCTCGTATTGTAAAAAGGCAGTCAGACATAAAAAACAAAAGCTCTTCTTAACTGAAGACCACGTGGGGAAACGAAACCAAGCGACCACATAGTATAACCACAAAATTGTAACAGACTTATCAGTCAGAGGTGAGTCAATGCCCTATCCGCTCTCGTTAACCCATTAACATCCTCTTCGAGTGTTTCGGGACAAGTCACTGCAGGGTGTTCAGGGGTGTCTCATTTTATAACGCAGAGGCTACTGTTGGAAAACTTATCGAAGCACGAATGTACAAACGGAGTTGACGCCCTACGATCGACAGGACCAAGTAAGTGACTAGGGGCGAATTTCGGCGAAGTGTGTTTGATGAGACAAACCACCATCCAGCTCGAGGATTCATCACGTCATGTTCCTGAAGAATGACAGTATACTTGTCGCAACTGCTTCCCTGCCCGTTGGGTTTAAAATGTAGTTAATTTTGCTTTGTAGACAAGCACTGCCTGTGAATCAGAGGATCTCCCATCTCTGCGGCACGGCCATAACCCCCCAACATACAATTTCCAACAACACCCTCTAGTCTGTAAGCGGGATTGGTCTATACAAGGCATTTAGTGCCATTGTCAGTCCTCCCAAGCGCATCGTTGCAAAATCAAGCTAGCCTTCCTGCTTTGGTTTTAGCACAAGGCAATAATCTGCTTTTAAACTGGGTTCTTTCCTCGACCACGTTAAACTATAACGCTAGTGTACGTTATGGGGTCAACGATTTATTCGACTTATGTAATGTCACTGTCAGGATCGGCATCCCATATTGGGTCTGTTTTAAAGGGCAGACGTTCCCTGCTTCCAAGATGAACTTTAGATACTTTCTACCAGAAGTGGGCTCCTAGTCTTCACCGTTGTCGATCTTAGCAGTCAGTTTCCCATCAGTGGTTCTGTGAGCTGCGCTCTGATGTTTGGATCATCCTGTATTATAGCCTTCAACGATTTGTCAGATTTTATCAGTTCTGTTTGACAACAGTCTACGTCGAAACACCGACGAGATTGTACCCATTTGCATGGCCAAGTCGTGTTGTCTGAGCTTGGTTGACAAGTTACATTTATGGTCCAGTTGTCCAGCATTGCTGCCTCCGGGTTCACTCGTGCTCGGTCCCACCAGAGACGCAAGTTTATAGTCAAACTTGAGTGACCTTGAACAGACGCTGGTAAGGTGTTTAGTACCCATTCTTTCAATAACAATGAGGCGTGGGAAATTGTTTTGCCCGACATGAACTTCGGCTCCTTTATTTGGTAAAGGCTTGACAATTGCGTAATGCTCTTAAGAGTGAAGTCGCATGATCGATTGGCGAGACAAACAGACATCAATAAGTCAAGAGAGCCCCAAATCCATAATTGTGATTTGAAAAACGTCTAGTAGACATGGTCTAGATAATAACCACCAGCCTGTCCCAGGCTGAGAGAAATGAAATGCTGGATTGAACAGAACAAATATCGAGAACCGATGAAAAATTGCCTTCATCTCCGCTACGTTTGCATAGTTTGAACTGAGGCCCAAATGGACGCTCTACATCAAGTTGAAGAAAGATGACATAAAAATGAAGACGATTATCGGGTTACGCAGCGTTTATTGAGAACATAAATTGGGAGTCACGTAAAAAATGCAAATTTAATGCACTCAAGGAAAAATGAACCCCGTCTTTTGGAGATAAGCACCACGGATTCTTGGTGTTCGACCTTTTCCATCGCACAGAGCTGATTTTTGGCCGAGTTGCCTTTACTTTTGAAGGAAGACGAGTAGGGGAAAGTCCCCGTACCTGTCATCGCTGCAGAGGGGACAAAAAGACCGTGACGCCAAGCTGCTAACCTTACCTCCCGTGATGCATAAAAATTGCCCACCGGTTCACACATTGTCATCAAAATTAAACCATGTGGGCCGTTAGTAATACGACTAACCACTCGAAAATGGTGCTTTATTTGGTTGGGCTCTGGCAGAAGAAATTAATTCACATATTTTCTATTATCGAGATTTGTCAGCAGTGTCCTACAACACTTTTTATTTTTACCCCGAATTCTGAAATATTCCGTAAAACTAAAAGGCTGTTTCCAGGAAAATGCCTTCCGCTTCGGCACACAACTCAAGAACTTCATTTTGCGTATGA